CAGAACTCGTCAAAACCGGGTAAGGAGCGCGGGCGGGCGGGTGGGCCCTTCGCCGTTTCCGGAAGTTACTTACTTCCGGGTTCGCCGACCAACGGGGACCGCCACGAACCGGTTGAAACCCACCCCTGCTGCTATAGATCGTGAAGTGAGCAGGAAGTGAGACTACATGTTTCCCAAGGTCCATTCTTATAATTAAGAAGAAACCATAAGATGGAAAGTGGTTGCGAATATGGATCTGATGAATCTGAAGGGCAAATGTGGTACTTTGGGAGACAAGACAGAGCTTTGGGGGAACTCCCTGGATTTGGCCCACAACCCAGATATATTCCTCTTCACTGTTTTAAGATGTGACATATACTTTGATGTTATTGTTTTTTCTCATGAGCTGGTTTTTGTTCATATTACAAAATTGTTTACGCTTAAGTGGCTTCAATGGCAAGTCAAACATGTACAGCTTTTCAGGACCAAAGGCCACACTCGGCCTTTCAATGGTGTGATAGGATCATATACCCCAAAAGTAATGAGGCCAAGACAGGAATTGAAACTGAAATTAAATTAAATTCAGTTGCAAATATATGACAGCTCCTTCCCTCTGTCACATTAAAATTGTAATTTGGTAGCAACCCTTGGAGTCACCCGAGGACCATATTTACAAAACACCTGTGGTTTTGCACTTTGGGCCAGGCAACAGTTAGCATCATTCATGAATGTATTTAACTAAACACATTCACAGTTTTAAAAGTAACAACTGGCTAAGAAAATCTACATGGACCATTTCTCTTGAAGCTAAGCTGAAATTCCAGGTAGAAGTCTTATTTTTCTTTCAAATCTGCTCTGCTGAATAAACAACGAAGTATGTATTTTGAATGTTATATCAAATAGTAGAACAGTGCAATTTAAATAATTTAAACATTAAAAAAAAAGAAAACTGGGGAAGAATAAAATGGCTGAGAATTTATATTATAAATTCATATATCACAAAACAAGCAAATGCATTTGATCCAATTGTTCAAAAAAGAACAATAATGTTGATAATGTTGCTGCAGATCAAGTCGAAAGGACAAAGACTTTCCAAGAAGCAGAAAAAAGAATGAGCCCTCTGCAACTCTCTTTCCGTAAGAGAGAGTGTGGCAGAGTCAGGGTGATAAGTTAAATGAGGCATCAGTTTAGAATCCTTATATAGCCACAAAAGAATGAAGTCCAATTTCCCTTGAAAGCTGTTGACCCTTATCTAGTTCTTTCCAGGTGCACAATGTTAATCTAAAACAGGGGAGTCAAACTTGTGGTGTCACAGCGGCATCACGTGACATATTGTGACTTTTTCCCTCTTTGCTAAACCGGGCGTTTGCGGGGCCAGCGTGTGACACATCTGCCCCCTTCCCCCAGTCCGGGATTTTGACAGCCCTGGTCTAAAAGATTCCTGAGCATAGCCTTTAACAATAAATCAATGATTCAGAAACTTCACATGTTTTTTGTACCTGGCATATCCTGAGACAGAAACTATATAATATACAGTATAGGTTATACAGATATACAGTATGACCAGTGGTGGGTTTCAAAATTTTTTGGAACCTACTCTGTGGGTGTGGCCTCCTTTGTGGGAGTGGCTTGCCAGCCATGTGACCTGGTGGGAGTGGCTTACCAACCATGTGTTTTCTCTCCCTCTCTCCCTCTCTTTCCTTCCTTCCTTTTGTCTCTCTGTCCCTTTTTTCTTTTTTTCTTTCATCTCTCTCTCACTCTTTTTCTTTCTCTCTTTCCTTCCTTTTGTCTCTGTCCCTTTTTTCTTTTTTTCTTTCATCTCTCTCTCTCTCTCTCTCTCTCTCTCTTTCTTC